CTTTAAGGTTGTTTTAAACCTTAAATTATGATTTATAAATATGAATTAGATATTTCATATTAATATGGATGAGTAAACTCTCCAGTACTTTGAGAAACTGATTTATTTACACATTTTGTTGAAATGCAGTCCAATGTAATATTAACATTTATACTGAGTCACATCTTATTTTCCAGATTATTTATAAAATGACACGTGGGTGAAAATCATTCAGCTGGAGAGACATGTCTGTCCTTGTCCTATCTCCTGTAAGATATAAAAATGTGAAAGAGTTTCTGGGGCGTTTGAGTGTGAAGGACAACCTTGGTGATTGTCGGTGGTATGGAAAGCGTATACATAAATTGATTCATTCATTTATCTCTGTGCAGAATGTGTGGGACCACATCGTTTTCTCCCACTGTTTTCTGCTGTCAGGGACAAACTGTTGGGCTTTGTCATAACTTGACCTGTGCCAAGTCTGGAAATACAAACAACAGGAAAAGAGTGTGACCGATGCACATATTTTGTAAAAAGAAATATATATTTTGACAAGTACCCTAGCAGCCACCAGGAGGTTTCATGATACACAGAGTGAAAGCAATAAAGAAGGAAAATTAGAAGTGAGTCTGATGTCTCGTCTCTTGGTCCCAAGGACAAACTACGTCAGTTAAATCCAGCCGGTCACAGTCTGTCAGCGACACCGTTTCTCCTCCTCCTCCAATAACCACAGACTCAACATCCATCTCTGGGCGCGAAAACAAGAACAAGCGCACACACACATGGACAGCATCGACGGACCTCCTCAACCATAAAAACACGGACGTGAGTGATCGTACGTGCAGCCGAACATAACTCCGCCTGTCCACATGTGGTCATCAGTCTTCAGGTGGTTTAGCAGTCTGAAGACATCGCAACAGATGTTTGGTTTTTTTCATCACATTGTTAATGTACGCTAATCATTATCCTGGTCTCATTCCACTGACTTTTTAATGATAATGAATGTGTGACCAACATGAGAAAGGTGAGCGGTTTGACTTTGATACTTTGGTCAGTTGCAGCTTAACATTATGCTAGCTAAACTTCATCACTGCAACCTGCCTGGATGTGGGATTATAAAGTCAAGGATGGATGGATATTTTCGTTTTAAGAAATACCAGTCATCTGCCGCCTACGTACTCAGTTTGAAACCTGGGCCCCTTTAGTTGAACACAACACAGGCACACCCACAGGAATTGAAGATTATTTTTTGGCTTTTAATAGCTATTTGCTGCCACCTAGTGGAAGATAATTGAATTGCTTTGCCAGTCACTGTTGACAAGCGAAAAATAATTTATTGCAGTAAATAATTATTTCCACGCCACAGTACACCTGACGATCTCTCACAGCTGTTAGGACTCACACAATGTAACAATACTGTATGTACGCACTGCACACTGAGCCTGAACCACAACTTGCTTACAAAGATGTCTGCACAAGAACCTGTGGTGTAAATAAGGTCTTAATAATAATATTTTTTCTCTGTCTCTCTTTTTTATACACTGTACATAAAGTTACAGCTGAGAGTACCGATGTTAGCTAATCAAAATCCAAACAAAATTTCACCACAACATTTAACAAGCAGATGAAACATCTAAGTCCAACTGATGAGTAAGAAATTCAAAAACATCTTGGACTGAAGGAACGTTTGACCTCACATTGTCATGATTACGTTCATTTGCAGCTGCACACGAAAACAGTTCCACCTGTGGTCGCTGTAGTTGCAACACAACGAGATAACCTACAGGCAAATACAGTCGATAATAAGACACGTATGTCTTTAATCTACTGTTACTTCATCTTGTTACTGGTTGTGATTCCTCATTTGATTAAAAAGCAGAAAAGCTGATGCAAACTTTGTGGTTTTGTCTGGTCAAACAAACAGCACATCACGGAGCTTCCACAGATCCAGGCAGTAACAGGGTTTACCACTGACGAGCTAGTCCTTGCTGGTGCTGTACACCTCCCCACACACTCCAGATGTACGTGAATGAAGCCGACAACATGATAAAGTGGAGAAAATAAAGGAAAGCTGAGTGATGGTGGAAAATCTCTTTTCCTGCTTTGGCAGTGGCTCAAAGAATGTGTATAAAAACGTCTGAGCTCAGAGAAGAGAAGTAAAGTCACAAACACGCGTGATTTAAATACTGTTTTCATGTGGTACACACACACACACACACACACACAGAAGGTAAAGCATGTCTTTAATCAGGTCTAGTGCCTTTGTCAACAGCTCTGTGAACACAGGTCTCCACCACAACAGAGAGGCCCCTGTAGGTGTTTCTGACCCAACAACAGCAGCCTCCATCCATCACGTCAACGGGACAAAAAGGTGGAACTGCTCTTTCAGTCAAGGGAGAACAGGTACTGTCTGTCAGAGGGAAGGCTGGAATGTTGCTGCACTTCTCTTTTAGATGTTGCATTTTCTACAGTGTTTTTGTGTTTCATACAGCATTTATGATAAATTATACATGACCAGATTCACTCAAAGACTCAACAACGTCACATAAACATGCTTTCCCTAGCCACCTACCATAACTATACTCTGTGACTCACCATAATCTGACTCCAACCCTAACCTCAAAATAGCCTTTTTACTCAGTAAGGACCTGAAAAATTGTCCCCACAACACTTTATTTCAACAAATGTCCACACACACACACACACACACACACACAGAATGTTTCCCCAGCCACTCACTCCAACCTCTACACTCTACTATTTCTTTACTGCAGGCCTAACCCTAATCCTCATCTTGGCTCTAATCTGACACTAATCCTAATCCGAATTTTAGACTAAATCTTGAAACTGAAAACATCCCCTCATTCAGTGACGTCCTGCAGAATGTCCTCTCAAGGACAAAGTGTCTTTCAACAAATGTCCACACAAGTATAGCTGTACCAGGATCACAAACACAGGTAGTCTGTCAGCAGCAGAGTGTGTGTGTGTGTGTGTGTGTGTGTGTGTGTGTGTGCCGATAGACTTAGATGTGGAAATGAAATTGTTGTGAGATGTTGAAGATAAAATACATTAAACTGTCATGTCAGCGCGTGTCGATCTATGATCTATTAAAGGTCGTTAAAGAGTCAAATTAGATCTGCACGGCTAATGTTACAGAGACTGTGGTCTAGAATAAAGGACGAGGGATAAATGACATACTGAACATACAGTCCATGGAGCAGACACAAAGAACTATCAGTGTTTTTACTGACCCTCGTCGTTACGGGGGGGGGGGGGGGGGGGGGGGGGGCGCGACCACGCGAAACCCCCCCCGAGTCAGGTTAATGAAGTCACGTTGAACAAGGTTCAAACAGAAAACAAAACACAGGAACAGAAGTGAGGGCTAAACAGAAAACACTCGGGTCAGGCAGGAAGGAGAGACTGAACGGTCAGTCTGCTGAAACTGGCAGAGATAACAAACAGGAAAGAAGACTGAACAGAATGAGCAGAAAAACAAACTGAGCTCAGCCGGCAGGACACAGACAGATCACACTAAGAGCAGCTGAAGTCAAACAAGGACTGGGCATGGAAATGGGATGAAGAAACATACATTTGTTCATGTTTAACAGATATATTACTTTTCTTTCTGTGACCTTTGACCCAAGGCCTTTCCAGTGAATTAATAGACTAATAGATATTTTTTCTTAATCTTGGCTGCATTGCAGACAATAAAAGAACACTTCACCAGGTGAGCAGAGTGTTGAGTTTTCATCGCCTGGTTTTAGCTGCAGTGTTTTGTTTTGTTTTTCCTGATGTGGGTCAACATCCTGGTGATAGCCAGCATCACATTCACCACCTCTGACACAGCTGTGATGATCATGTGGGTGAGCCTGAGGGTGTGTGTGTTAAATGTAAACACGGTGGATGGCTGACGTGGTGTCAGTGCCTGACTTCTGTAATAAACCGTACACACACGCAGCCGATGTCACTGCTTTCAACACAACACTGTTGTCTTCTCAGAATCTTCTCAAAAGTTTAGGATCTATCATTTGAGTCTAGCAGTAGCTGCAGACGTGAAGCACCCCAGCGATGTGGGTTTGAAGGATCGCCTGCATTCCCATGACCAGATTTGTATCACTTGTGGCAGATCTCCAGCTCAGCTGCATCAGTGACAGAGGCTGAGGGATGCTCCTCTGATGCAGCTTATCAAACCTCAGTGAGGAAGTAAACACCTCCATGTGGGCCTCAAGCTGCTAAGGGATATTTACTGTTGCAAATAACAGGTCGACAGCAAACACAACAAGACAAGTCACCACAGGCAGCTGACCTACACCGTTAAGAACAATCGTACCTACTCTTCAAGGAAAACATCAGTTTAAAAAACCATAAAACCAGGGCACCAGGTTAATTTGTGAAATGAATCAAATAAAAACAGGTTTATGTTTGTGTTGGGGGTTTTTGGGAACTCTTTGCCCTTCACCATGGCTCTCAGGTTTAAGTCTGACTCTTCCAATGTTTTTATGTCTTAGATTATGATGTAACCACTGTTAGCGTAAGTGACAAAGGTACTGACGTACAGTCTGAGTTAAAAAACCGAGCTATGTCACAGCATAGGAACGGAACTCCGATCTCAGTCGAGGACCGTCGTGTTTCATTTCTGCTCTGCTTTTGTGTCTTTTAAGTTGGTTAAATTTTAACATATAAATGTTAATTTAGCTTGAATTACTCACTTTGATTGAACATATTCAAAAATTATAAGTATTATAACAGTGTTATAAATTTAAATTGATTTCATTAATAATAATTTGTGGCATTTGGTAGTGTTTATGACTTTTGTCCCTTTCATTGGTTCATACTTTCATAGTATTAAAAATGGACTAATTGAGGCAACAGAGTAGCAGAGCAGCAACATCACACTAGAAATGAGCTGTTGTAATGAATGGACTTTTAAAATGGACCAAATCTTCACTGATTTCATTGTCATTTTCTCTGTAATAAAACACGTATTACTGCCTGGGGAAGTTGTCAGGTGTCAAACAGTAGGATCAGTTCATAACTCCCTCACTGTCACATACTAAATCTCCAGCTGCGTTAATAATAAACTGAGTGCTGAATGAAGGAAATGAAGAGTGAACAGCGCTCACTTAAGCCCTCAGTTCATCTGGTCCTCCTGCGTCAATCACTGTCAGCCTCAGCCTCTTACCTGTTCTCCCACTGCTGCTGTCTCTGAGTGTTTCACTCCACCTCTGCTTTGTATGTCCACGCGGCCGGCTCCTGCTCCACCTGTGGGCGCCGTACCCAGGGGCCATGCAGAGAGGCAGGCTCAGGCAGGCCGTCTCCAGGCTGCAGGTTCAGGATTGAGGATGATTTAGTGGTTAAACACGGAGCATGTTAGAGACATAAAGAGTTTATCAGGTTTTTACACAAATCTTTAATGGACCGTGTCTGATGTCATGAGAGTATTTACCCTGAATGATTGTCGGAGGAAATATGAAAACTGTTAAACGGCTGTGCTGCTAGGATTCAACTGTAATATTATTTGACAGTGGATAAGCCATAGTTTAAGTCAGTGGTGCTCAACTGCTGGGTCAAGGACCAGTACAGGGTCTTGGTTTATTTGGTACAGAGCCAAAGAGAAAGAATAAAAAACTTATAATAATAAAATAAAAAATAAAAATAATGTTTAAGTCTAGAGTGTATTTGATTTTGAAAACCATTTGCAAACTTTTATATAAATTACATTTATATTAATTATATTAATTAATTCTAATAATAATGGAAATTAAGGCCTGTCTTTGGAAACAATGCATTTTTTACATTTCTTTTTTACATTTTGTTACATTTTTGTTCTATTAATTTAAATTAGATCAATGTTACTTGTTGCATATGTAGCAGATACAGAAAGAAAAGTTACTTTTATTTATTTATTTTCAGAAACAATGGGTTTTTTTTTTGTTTTTATGGCAAACAATATATATCTGCTGGAGTTTGCAGTGTTTAGAACAAAACAGAGGATGTATGTTGGAATAAAGTATTTCTTCATTATTTAAACTTGTACTTTATCTTTGTTTTACCCTGACTGTTATGAGCATTATTTTTTGATATTTACACAAAATTCACCAACAAACTCAATCAAGGTGATGTAGAGAAGCAGGTAGAGTCATGGACGAGGGTAAATATCTTTGTGCTGAAAACTCTGTTTTTGTTTTACAGCAGTAAGTTTACGCACAGGTACGTGAACTGACAGAGGAAGTGTGACAGATGGATGGAGAAGTCAGAGGGGAAGATGGAGAGTTGAACAAGGTCGGATGTTTCACCGACAGAAGTGGTGGAAATAAATCGCTGACTCCGGGGCACTTGTTTTGTTAAAAGGCTAAAAGGAATGTGATCTGTAAATGTCAAAAAGAAAATCCTTTCATTGACCATCAGCGCCAGAAGAGTGTTCAGCAGCTCAGAGCAGAAACACTTGACATGTTTGAGGTTTGTTGAACTATTTTTTGCTCCATAACTGAACTGAATGTTACTTTCACATCATAATCTGTATGGGTTTCTTCAAATCCTAACAAACATTTGATTGAATTTGGACTTGATTTACAAATAAACAAACAGAGGAGCAGGCTCTTCAGATGATGAACATGAACTAGGCTTTTGTCATCACACTCCAGGATGACAGGTTGATTTCAATAAGCTGCAGGAGAGGCTCCTTCAGGGGCCATCACATGTGTGAGGCTACCCTGCTTTCAGTCAGTGTCATTTTGACATACATGCTCTGACACATCAGTAAACACCAGCAGGAGACTTTCCTCTGCAGGACACAGAGGACACAGGACAGGTTTAGCTCTAGGACTAATACAGTAAATGAATAGAAACAAGGGCCAGCACTAAAGAACAAGGTACCCCCTCTAATCCCCCCCCCTCCCCTCCATACATAATAGTATGTGGCCTGTGATTCCCATCCTTTCACGACTTTGTGGGAAACAAAATTAAACACTTTTACGAGCATTTTGTCAACGTTACTTTACACCATCTAAACTTCTATCAGGGAAATAAACGCAACGAAGAGTTCGAAAACTGGTTTGAACCTCCACGTTTGACGCTCATGTGTCCAGTGTGTAGATAATAATCAAAACAGAAAAAACAGGACAGAGAACAGACACATGTCTGGTATGAATCCCACTGCAACACTGCAGGAATGAGTGCTGTACAAATATTTCATCTCCTTACGTCTGCAGGACAGAACTGGCAGGTGGAAGCGGTCGACATCTTGCAGATAAAATAAAAGACATCAGTTCATCAGTTTGCCAAACACATGGGCATCAACCACGACCGTATGTCCACAGAAATGAACATCACAGTCATTGACATTGTTCCAACACTTGATCAAAGGCTCGCAAAAGTTTCCGTCCCCCGATGCTTCACATCCCATACTGGGAAACGGAATACATTTCTTGTTTTCTTTACAGAGAGGTGCACATGAAGCAGTGAATATTAAATATAAATTGAGCATGAGAGTGTTCCTGTGGACTGAAACTCTTTTACAGGGTTGGAAACTGTTTCCGTCATAAATGCCTGACTAAATCTCCACACAGATGATGAACCTGCCAACATGCTGACAACAAGGGTTTCACACCAATGGCAGCTACAGCGCCATCACGTGGATGTACTGTCACTGTTCACTGTAACTACTGTACAACAGGTTATCACCAGAGGCTACTCACATTTACTGCAAACCTAATAATTCCTTCATGATTTGGATTTCAACAGCCACAGTTCGTGTGTTTAATTAATGGTGCAGAGTTTTCCAACCTTCTTTGAGCCTCAGCTTTGACTGACTCATTATTAAACCCCATCCTGTTTAGTTGAACACAACCCTGATCTTATTAAACCCCATCCTGTTTAGTTTAACACAACCCTGATATACTCACAGGGATTGAAGAAAGACAAAGATATAGACATAGACAAAGATCTTCTTCAACATCTCTAAGTCTTTTTCTGTTTTTAAGATTTTATAGCCATCTGCCTCCCCCTAGTGGAAGAGCATTTAAATGCCCTGACTGTCACTGATGAATTGACGAACAAAAACAACATATTTCGTAGTAAATAAATATGTTTTCAGACGAGTGAAACTAGATAATTTCACAAGGCATACCTGGTAATCTCTCAGGGGTCATTAGTGAGCCACAGCCCAGTGGTTGGGAACCACCACTGTGGTGAGCTGTCCATGTTACACAGTACACCACTGTTGCCTGATGACCGCTGTGATTGGCTCCTGCTCCCCACATGACCCTGAAAGGATCAAGAAGTACAAGATGAAGTTAAGATGCAGTCTCACTTCTTCCTCTCAGAGTACAACCTTTTAAATTAGCAAAGAAAAATATTATTAATCAGTTAAGAACATTTCCTTATCACTGCATGTTCCTGTAATGTCATACGGATATGTTGTCTTATATTTCTGCACAAAACCATCACAACAAAAGACAAACATGGAAGTCATTCAGTCCTGATTAGAAACACCATGGAAAAAGAATCTGTGTGTGTGCGTGCTCGGGTTCCACAGATCAAAGACCAGGAGACTGATGAATAAACATGAGGCCAGGCATTAATGCAGCACACACACACACACACACACACTTTACACTATTTTTAAAATACCTTACAAGGTCTTGTCCCCCAAAGGTGAGTGTCCAGGATGTCCTGCAGCCATGACCCGCTGCAGCCTGGTGTTGTGTAGAAGTTGATATGAACAGACCAACGAAGAAAACCCAGGCGACGAGGAAAACCTGGACAAAACAAGAACAAAGAGTTTTCCTCCAGGAAGTATAAAGAGAGAGGCCAGTCTGCAGAACCATCAGCCAGTCTGGAGAACCATCAGCCAGGCTGACGAACCATCCGCAGGTACGCCGAAACT